ATTGGGAGAGAAGAACGATTCTCAAGACATGCATGAAGTGAGTATAGATTGTAGATTACATGTAAAAACAACGAATTACTAAAAAGTATTCGAGTACTTTCAGATCAAAGTTCTAATTGATGAATGGCATAATAGATTCCGCAAGAAGGTAGTTTCAGCCAAGGAGAAAACCACTAAACTTGAGGTTAGTGTTAAACTTCGAAATCATCTGAGATCATCTTACATAGTTGGTGCTCAAGAACATCACGAACAGGGAACATTGGGGGAATGATTCGCAAAATACGATCCCTCGAGATGTCCTCCTCTGGAACGATACCCCTTCCCGCCTACCATCTCCTGGATTTTCTCAACTTCCTTCCACTTTTCCGCATTTTTTTTCAAAAATCCACCATTTTTTCTGGAAAAGAAAGCCTCTAAACGCAGAACATATGGTACAGTTGAACGTGGAACATATGGTACAGTTGAAACAGGAAAGTTGAGAGAGAGATAAACAACCGAGAGCAACTTGAAAGCAACTACGACCGCCTCCCTGCAGTGGCCAAATACGACCCCCACCCCCGTGCCCTGATCTCAGTTTCCCCCTGATACTCTGACTTGCCCTGATCTCGGAGCTTTCCTCTTATCTTGACACCTGTTCCTTCTGAACCTTCCTATACATGTTCTGCAGCTTTCGAAAGCGCTCGAGAATCTCATCAAGCAGTTCGATCGAGTGAATTTGGATCTGATCAAGTCGCAAGTGAACGCCAGTGAGTAACTTTCTAACATTTTTTACACTTTGCCTTTTAATTCATTGAAAAAATTATTTGTCGTGCTTAGACCATTGCATCTCAAAGTTAAGATGAAAAATTAAACGAAGGCCGCGGGCTTTTGGAATGAAAATAAAAGTGGAGAAGTTAAACAGTGAAAATTTTAAGAAAAAATAGGGCGAAGCAGCCGTAAACGAACCGAACAGAACGCTCAATCCAGTTTTCAATTGGAACGAGACGAGCATGTAAGATAGATTGCTGCTGGTCAAAGGTCAGTGACAATCAGTGGGCATCATGAAACTTTCGCCGAGTGTTCGGGAATTAACTGAAAATCATAAAAAAATCATAAAACAATCTGAAACTCTAACATATTAGTACTATTCTCAGGAAAAGTTGGCAGTATGGGTTATGAAAGACTACGACTGGCTACTTAGCTTTTGCGAATGAACCCTGCTGGAGTGAAAAAAATCCAGTTAGCATCTTGCTGAAAATAAACGATTGAGTCCTGGTGAAATCTTGGCCGGAGCTACTCAAATGAAAGTGGACGGTCGTTGGGGTGGGGAGGAGTGATGGGAAAGTTGGATCTTGCTGAGTCGCTTTGAGCCTGTCGCTGCCAAACGAGCCACGCTTGTCCGCTCAGAGACTCGGTACCCTGTTTTGCTGGGCACATCAGTCCTATACACCCCATATCCTGGGTTGAAGTAAGCATGCCAGCGTAAACGACTAGGCGTAGCGACAGCATACTCTCTACTTCACTGCGGACGGTTGGGCGTGTCAGCCAGTATGAGTGTGTCACCCCATCAAAGCCGTTCTCTGCCTTCTTGTTGAAGCGCGCATGCGACAAAAAGTGGTAGAAAACGAGTAATACGAAGGATATGATACAGTATTGTCACTTGCCCGCTTCAACAACTGGTGGAGAACGAGTTTGGCACCGCGCCAAACGCAGCCGCACTGACACGCCCAA